CCTAGGCAGCACTGCATGTCCATCTCATGCCTTTTGAATAACTTGTTTGAAATCAGTCTCTTGTGTTTTAGATTGAATGGTCCTCGAAAAATGTCATTAAAAAGTCGGCCCAATTCTAATAAGAATGAAAAACAACATCATTTGGTTATTTGTTTGCTTGATCCATTTTGCCTAAGAAATTTTCAACTATATAGTGTGCAATCTTTGGTTCCAGTCTGTGTTATGCCAATTAAGGAAAAAAATCTGTTGCCTTCTTGAAACATGCGACGCAATTGAAATATGATATAAACGGACATCAAATTCCAATGCGTGATTTAAAAAAAGTGGTTTACTTCCTGTTTCAGCCTATCGTATTTGGAGCTGGACTGAGTTCTGGGGGTTCACAGATGTTGAGTAACTTGCTTGCTTCAGCTTCTCCCGAGCAGCAGAAGCATATACTTGGCGAGCATCTTTATCCACTTGTTGCTCATCATCAGGTGAAGAGCTTTCCTCCATGCCATTCTCCTTTTCAAGGCATACTTCTCTTTTCCTACCGGGACATTTACTCTTTCCTCTTTAAATAGTTAAATATCAAGGCATTAGAGTTACCCAATGACATTTTTTCATCAATAAGTGGAAGTGTTCTTTGAAAATTATAAACATTACTTGGGGTTGATTGTAGTACATGAAGGGGTGTTTTTAATTTTAAAGTCGAAATGATCCCATTAACTCTCCTGGATGATTGACACATTTTTCTTCAAGACTGAAAGTTTAAACTTATGTTTGTTTCCCTTCTTGACCTCACTACAAGTATTGCCATGATGCGCACCCACACCCACACACACACACACCTTCACATATCAAGTGATTCTTGTTTTCTTGGTCTCACTATCAGCATAACTCCATAAGTTTATTCGTACTTCCGTTCGTTAGCTTTCCCGATGCAAAATTATTTTTCCCACACAAGAAATATTACAACATTAAAAGTGTTTATTTTTTATTTTTTGTTCAATTTGCAGCCTGATCTTGCAGCAAAGATAACAGGAATGATTTTGGAGATGGAAAATTCTGAGCTGCTACTGCTATTGAATTCACCAAAGGCGCTAGCAGCCAAGGTGCAAGAGGGAGTTGAAGTGCTCAAAATTTCAAAGTCTAAAGTCTCGACCAAGCACGACTCACTTCGTTCGAAGTACGTTTCTCCTCAGGTTGCTGTTATTTAATGGAAGCGTGCAGTAACCATTCTTTTGGAAGGCATTGGAATGTTTAACCAAATTCCTTCCAAGATATAACTTCCATTAGGAATGTCTGTTATTTACTGTGTGTCTACGCATGAACTTGTGTTTGGCGAGTCTTGTAGACATGTCTGGATCTGGCTTGTCATCTTGACATTTCAACTTTACACTTTTTCAAATTTATAGACTGATAGAACTTATTTAAAAATATTCTGCATATGATCAACTTTTTGTTTGGTTGATCTTGTGGGGGCATGCTTGGATATTTCTAGTGATCATTTGATATTAGACTATTAGTACGGCCATTTTTCTGACCTCCGGTTCACGATTTTAAGTTTTGGTGAGTGGTCAAGAGAATTGTTGACCCGTTGAACCCATTACCGTCAGACTGACCCATGTACTTAAATTTAACTTACAAGACAAAGTTTTGTTCGCAAAAGTTTACTCATATAATAATTTTTCTTAAAGAAAAATTACAAATAAACTTGTCTCGTTTAATAAATCAAACTCAATTATTTGATCTTCTTCATGTTTCACACATTGGAAGTTGGAGCAAACCGACATCAATCCCCAGAAAACCTCCAAAACATCCACAATATCAGTTAAATCCAAACTGATAAGCATGCCATGTGGCAAAGACATAACTCTTGTACGACTACGCGTCGCCACATGGCAAAGCGTAAAATGACACGTGTTGCCCCTGATTTTCAAACGGCCGCTCCTTATAAAGTCCTTCACTCACCCCGCGGCCTAACACGCTTAAGAAAAGAGAAAAGGAAAAAAAAAATCACCAAAAACATTTCCTATAGTTAGCACCGTACAGTTCCACCCGTTCCAACTACCGGAAACAGCAAAAAATGGCGTCTAGGCAGACCGCCGGCAAGGAAGAGAGGGCCGAGGCCGCAGCCGATAAGCTCCACCGTGCCAACCGTAAAAGGAGGGAGGGGGAAGCCGTCCAGGAAGCCAAGGACGCCGTCGTGGGCAAATCTCGCAACGCCGCCTTCGACACGGCGGCGGAGACGAAGGACGCCGCCTCCGAGCACAAGGACCGCGAGGCGGAGAAGACCAGGGGAGGGCTGGGGTACGCCGCCGACAAGGCGAGGCAGGCGAAGGACGCCGCGGCGGAGAAGGCTGCGGGGATGAAGGACGCGGCGGTGGGGAAAGTGGCGGAGGTGAAGGACACGGCGGCGGAGGCCGCCAGGCGGGCGGTGGATTACTTGACGGGGAAGACTGCGACTGCGAGTACGGGGGCAGCTAAGGTTAATAATAGCCGTTTGTGAATATTTTATTGGGTTCGTTCGATTTGTGGGGTTTTTTTTGTAATAAAGGATTCTCTTGGGGTGATTAAGATGATGTGCTTATAGAAAGTGTAATTTTCGGGGTGGATTCTGTAATTATTATTATTTATTTTCTGTTTTAAGTTATAGAAGGCATACAATTGGGTGCTATTCCGTGTCCCGTGTTAGGGCTGAGCACGGGACTCGGAGAATTCCGAATCGTTTGGAACACCAAACCGAAATCACTCTTTTGACTTTCTCCGAACCAAATCGAACCGAAAAAATAATTGGTACGGTTCTGGAGATTTTACAAATATTCATATCGAGAACTAGACCAAACAGTCTCATACCGTACTGAAAGTAAGAACTGAATTGTAACACTATATATGTGTTATTAATATATTTTATGTTAATTTTGATCATATATAATTTGAGAATTTTTAAAATATAAATAAAATATAGCTATAACAATTAAACTTTATTTAAATTTCATGACTTGAACTAAAATTGAATTTTTCCTGTTATAAAATATTTATTTAAAATGATATGAAAGGATAAAGTATATTATTTGAAGAACAAATTATTATATATTTTGTTTGAATTTTAAATTTTTAATATTAGTTACACAAATTTAGTCTTATCTAAATTTAGATTTACTTATAAAATTGATTTTAAAATAAAATCTTTAATATGAGAAAATATTGATGAATGTTGGTTTTTTTAAAGTATATAAAAATTCAATAACTAAAATTTAGAGTTATTTCTAAAGTATTAGATCTTCAATATGATGAGATATTGATGAATGTTGATTTTTTTAAAATATATAAAAATTATAATACTAGGTAGTCATTCAAAAATATTTTAAAAATAAAAGAAATCTTCGAGGATCCGAACCGAACCATATAGAACTGAATTGTCCCGATAGTCTCGAATACCGAACAGAACTGAACCAAAAAATAAAAATCCCCGAACCGTACCGACCCATGCTCACTCCTAGTTCGTGCTCTACAACTCCTTTTTTCATTTAATCATAAATACAATAACAAGTACAAATTTAAATAACTCTTTTTTTTTTATTGTTTTTCTACGTGTTTCAGTTTGTCTTGTGTCATTTCACTTGATGTTTGTTGTTTTTGCATTTTCTATTGTTGTTTCGATTTTTCATATAGTAACAACTTGCATTTTTGTTAACTTATAAGATGTTGTTATCAAGTACTAAACCCAAAAGAAACAGATAAACGAAGATCAATTTAGTTTCAAGTTATGCAGCAATTAATTAACCATTAATTAACTCACTTTGGTATTTTGTTTTGTTTTTTGTTTCTTTCAACTTTGATATTGTTATATTACACAATCCAACGGAATAAAACATGCCTCAACTACTGGTCACTGAAAAACTTATTTATTCAAGAAAGCAAAATAAGTTACATTCATGATGCACTAGTTCAAGGTAATTGGAACTCCAACAAAAAATAACAAAAATTTTGTGTAAGNTACAGCAAAACCAATGCTTTTCCAGAAGTGCAAAAGCAAATGACAGAACCCCAATATTATTTTTTTTTTCCCAAGAAAAACAAAAGGAATAGATAGGAAAACAAAAAGGCTCACACACACACACACACAACATAACATCAGTATCTACTTCAAAACCTTTCTTCCCCTGTGCCCTTTCAACTCAACTGGAATAACCGAAACAGAATCGACACAGAGCCCACCTTTCGAATGCGTGCAATCAATTTGTTTCATAGAGAATTTCACCTCCGTTTCATAATCCGATTTGCTGACAGTAAATTCACCAACCTTGTAATCTATCCAGCAGCCACGCTTGGAACTCGTATTCGTATAATTATTGCTATTGCTATTGTCATCTTGCTGTGAATCGTCTAGAAAGCATTCGCTCGATGCCTGTTGGCCTTCTGAAGTAGAGAACTCGAAACGCACGGGCTTTATTTCCCATCCGTGAGTATGTTCGAAACTGGAAACACGTCGGCCGAGCCTTCTGGAAAATCTGCCCAGGTGAATCCTAAAAGAGAGCGCGTATAAATCGGGCGGTAAAGGGAATTTTACAGTGCCGTCAACTTCGAACCACCATATTTGCTGCAAATAGGCCACAACACTAAATCTGCAAAAGAATAGATATGATCATAAATCACGAGTTGCAAACACAAATAATTAACCGTTTTATAGGCCAAACTTACAAGTACACTAATGAATTTAGTTTTAAGTAACTGAACATAAACCCAAAAAACCAAAGAAAGAAGTAGACAAAAATAAACATAAACCAGAGCTTGCATGACTTCATAGTTCCAGGAAAATAAATGGGAAGAAAGATTTTTTGCTTTACTTGAAGTTAAAGTAACAACTGGAAGTAAATTCCAGTCCTAGCACTATCAAAACCCTCAATGACATGATATATAGAAACAAACTTTATCATTTGAAGCAGTAAGGCTTCATCTTCCTAGTGCAGTGCAGAACCTGAACCGAAACTATTGAACTTCACGCATTAAAGGAATACAGCTTACAGACTAGACCAATTATGATAGAAGCTAATCTGGCACCTTTATCTAGATATGTAGAATAAAGTACAAGCATTCACAATGGCTGTATATAAGTGAAACCCGAACACATGAATCTTTGTATATAAGTGAAACCATGAATCAAATCTAGTACTGACAAAAACCGCTCTATGCTGTTTGCCGGGATACACGCTGACAGATTCTCCAACTTGGTGAAATTGTTCGATTCATGTCTGCTTGGGCACAATTTCGAAATTTCAGTATCCAATCCTCAAACTGGCTGTTTTAAACACGGATTCATCTGAATTCAAGAACTCCGCAGCTTAATCATACCTTTGCTGAAGAAACCTAGCAATTTACTACTTTTAAAGTATCAGAAAGTTCGAGTGGCAACGAAAGTAATAAATGAGATAAAGAAAATGGTCGATGTGGGACATGACAGAACAGTTCACCCAAGATTACATACAAAATCATGAATAAATTTGATAGTCGAGCTCTCAACGGCCTTCAGCAACATATATACAAATTAGTGCTCAACTTTAGATTGGGTTTTAACTCACAATACATTAACAAAATCATATCTAACAACAGTTCAAGATTTTTTATATCATTCGATGGATAAATATACGTCGACATGTAAAGTGCATCAGAGCAAAGCCGAAAATCTAACCTAGATTCCTCTGTTGGTACCCAATTCCAATATCTCCTGTCCTCAATGCCTGTGATTGCCATTGCCTTGGCCGATATTGACGCGCAGACTCTCCCTGTAAACTTGTCCACCCACACCACCTGCAATTGTCCCATGCTAAATGAGAAGTATATCTACAACAGTATAGAGAGAGTGAATACAGAATCAAATTCTTATTTTTTCATTTAATGCTAAACTAATTGGTTTTCAGATCTACTGATTCATTCCTTCCAGACTTGATTCAATTCCAAAAGAACTGAAATTCTGAAAGAAAATGATGGACCTTGAATTCGAATTTTCTGACCATCCATAGCACAAGCTTAACAACTATAATTGTTAAATTTTTTCAGTAAAATCAAGTGAAAAAAAGACAATGAACAAAATTTTAGATTTTTGAGATCACTGTAAGAAAATCAAGCAGAGCAAAAGATTCAAGTATACTTAATTCCAGCAAAAACCCCATAAATATAAACGATGTAATCAAGCAGGAATTTAAGTACTATGACCAATGTTGAACAAAATAGAGAAAATACGAAGTAGAAAAGGGGGCCAAAAACCCAAAATACTGAAAATCACGTGCCTTGTTGCCGTCGTCAAAAGGGAGGGGCCGGGATATGAGGGCAAAAACGTCCTTTTTCCGGAGGCTCCGATGGACGTCGGGCCGAGACAGGAGCCCGAGGAGGTGGTGGTAATTGGGCGGAAGCTTGGTCTCCCAGACGGCGTCCGACGACGCGGCGCCGCGGAAAGCGCGATTGAGCCGAGCCAGGTTGCATATCTCCGGCGGCGGGAGGTGGAGGAACACGCGCGCCACGCAGTTCTCCGGTATGTCGCCCAGGCCCGGCCCGCCGTTGCCCGACCCGTTCTCAGTCAAATTCGATAGTGATGCCCCCATACACGCGCGCCGTATTCCGATGCTTTATCCTCCTCGGGTGAAGGTCCAGCGGCGGTGCCGGCGGTGCGCCGCCGTGTGGATGTGTGTGGGTGAGTATGGAAAGGGGATTTTGTTTGTCCGGCTTGCTTTAATGTAAGGCTGTTTCCATTTATAGTGATTTTAATGTAAAGAGATTAAGAGAGATCTAAACAAGCCAAGCCCACGTCGGAATATGTCAAAAGTTCATAAAACTATCAAATCTTATTAAGTTGAGTGGTGCTCATTTTGTTTAACAACTGTAATTGCAATATTCATTTTCAGTTAGGAGTCAATAAAACAATAAATTCATGGTTGCTACATTAATTAGATTACAATTCTTAAGGTGTGGAGTTATGAGGTCATTGCAATTGTCTTTGAGCAGATTGCAAAAATTTATTACACGTTTAATGTTGAGGAAATTTTATTTTAGGTGGTTAGAATAGTATTGAATGTTGATTGTTATGGCACATTTTGTTATCCTAAGTGGATATCAATAGTAATGTGGTGATAACTAATAAGCATAGCACGGTTTTGTCCAAGCCGGACAAGGATTGACAGAGTCGAACCAGAGCTAGCAATACATGAAAAGTCGAGGCCAAACCATGAAGAACTTGATTGTCCGAAAGTTAAGATTTGTACGTCAAGTCGTGCACAAAATCATAGTAATGTCTGTTGAATAGCCTACCATCGTACATTCAGTTTATAAATAGCTGAGTCCAAGTTGTGTTCCAAGAGCTAGGCGACACGTACAAAGTATGGGAATAAAGATTATAAACATTTCCTACTATAAAATAGCAAGTTTCTTATATCGTAACACACTTGAAATTTTTTTGATAAAAAGGCAAGAAAATGCTATATATCTTCTACATTCTCGTTTTTGCAATTTCAATAAAAACACTGAAAATGTCCACAACCTACACTCGACGAACTAGTTAAAATTATAAAATGTGTTGACGAAATCACTGATCGGTGAAAATACTAAGCTACTCTACATTAGATTTATCAATAACACAATTTCTTTGGTGTTAAAATGAACTGAAAATATAAATATTGGAATCAATTCTTGTTACATAAATTACATATTACCCCAAAAGAGAAGTGTGGGCTTATGGTTTCTAATGACTCTCTGCCCATGGTTTTTAACATTTGAGAGTGCAAAAGCATTGCCAAAACTTGGTACAAAAAGAGGAAAATGCTAAAAGAAGGGTGTTAGATTTTTGTGGGGCGCAAATGGGTTTTGGATTGTCTTGAAAGATGACGTTCAAGGACAAAATGATTTTGGCTAAACAGTGGCATTTGGTTAGTTTTTGAGGTGGCCGCAAATGCAAACCTATGATAATGTATGTTATCCTGACATCAATAAGTTCCATGTTGGTCAAAGCTCAATTATTGAGAACAATTTAGTGTCATGACCATTTTTTGCTATGTGTGGAGCCCTTATTCATTTTGGCTTTATCACTTTTTATTCAGGTCACTTTTGTTAGGGTTTCATTCTAATTTCTTGATTGAACATTGGGTTTTAGAGTAGATTAAAAGATAAAATGATAGTTTGAATTGTATTCTTGTTCATTGAGAAGATATAATATTATGGGTAAACAATAATAGATTTAATTTTTGGGCCCATAAATGATAATAATAGATTATATTTGAGGAATTTGCACCCCTTACTTCCCCATATGAAATATATTATAATTATGCACCCTTTTTACAAATATTTGTATAATTACCTAAACAAGCCAAATTATTTGCTATTATACCTAAACAGTAAAATTAAGTAAATTATATCAGGTAATTAAATACATCAGATAATTAAGGAAACGTTACTGATTTTACGGCTATTTTGAATGCACTCAATATCTTTTCAACAAAAAAACCTCCCACTCCCACCGCCCACGTTCACCATCGTGCACAGAAGGAAAACTCAGTAACCGAAGATACTCCAATGGCGAAGACAAAAATCGCTCGAGATCCTAAAAAAAAAACGGCGAACGAAGATGATGAAACACCACAGATAAGATCGAGTTCCCGTCTTCATAAGATCCACGCAAAATCCAACCCAAACTCGTGCAGAAGAAGCTCGTTTTTGAGCGAAATATGAACCCTAAACCTAGTCGCAAGCCCACTGGCAACGCAAGAATGAAGAAGAACATTTCATCCCCTGATTCAGACGACTTCTAGTCCAACGACGACCGTAGAACTCAAAAATCTTTTCGTCTTCACCGTAAATCAAAAATCCCCAATTCCACTGAAAATGAAAAATCTTCTGACACCGACTTCGAAGATGAAATTCAACCCGAAGACGTCGATAGCGAGGGATTGGAGAGCGACGAAGAATCCCCGGTCGAAAATTTCAAGAAAAGAATCAACAAAAGGCAAAAACAAGAGAAAGATGCAGTTCAGAAGAACAAGAAAAAGAGAAAACCTAACACCGGCGTCCCAAGTGGCATGCAACATGTTCAGAAACAGATAGTGTATAAGGTAAATTTTCTTCTACATTCCATTTTTTTCATTATATTTTCTCATCTGAAAGATTATTAATTTGTTTATTGATTTTGTTTATTGATTATCAACTATATCCTTTTGTCAGTTGAATGTGTGTATGTCAATGAATAAATCGTCATGGGTACCTCCAAGATTTTTGGTTGACTAAGCATGTTATGTAGTCCTATGTAGTCCCAGAGTTTAATAATCTTACCCCTGTGCACTAACAGGGGTATATAGGAATTAGATTCGTATGTATATAATAGGTGAATCAAATGACTGTATTTTTGTACTATTTTTCAGTGTGAAATGATATAATCACTTGGGTTAATGTGTATATTCCAAGTAAATAACACTGTTGCCCCTTTTCACTCTTCCTATTTGGTTTTGGATATCTGCATCATTTGTTCACATAACTTACAGTATGGTATATTTTCTAGCTAACTATCCATGTTAATGTGCAAGTACTTATAAATTTTATGGTATAGCTAAGTTACCTGTTCATTTGCAAGTACATATTGTCAGTACTATGGTATTTTTTAAGTTTTTTTATAGTATAAGCTCATATAATATGTGGTCACATATACCACACATATAAACTGAATATATATCATTTTCTGGTATATCTATCTTATATTTTGTTCTGTAATATACCACATATATACCATGTTCATTTGAAAATAACACTGTTCTGTAATATACCACAAGTATATTAGTATCCAAGTAAATAACACTGTTGCTCCTTTTCACTCTTCCTAATTGGTTTTGCATATCTGCATCATTTGCTTATCATGACATATATAAAATAATGCCCAACTGTTGCTCTTTTATATCTTAAGTATATGGTCTGGTTTATCTTCCTTTACATGTCATGATAAGTATCTGGTATAAATATACTATGAATATAACAAATATATAATCAATCAGGTATGATAAGTATATGGTATATCTATAAACAGGTATATTACTCGGGTATATTAATTCCTTCTATATTAATCAATCAGGTATATTATCCAGTCCCTATCCCTGTCACTTTTTTTTTAACAGTATATCTATCTTATATTATGTAGAGCCACATCAGGTGGCAGTATATGATAAGTATATGGTGTATATATAACAGAAATATACCAAGTATATAATCATTACTGTAAGTGTTAACATATTGTAAGTTATGATATGGTCCTATATTATAAGTTACAATCAATAATGTAAGTTGTATCATATTGTATCATATTTGTAAGTTATAATCATGTATATAAAAATCCATATTGTTTTCTTTTCATTATTTTCAGGAATGGGAACTGCTAATCCCGCACCCCAGGGATATAAACGTGAAGGTGCAAAACAGTAACGATAACAGCAAGGAAAAATGCACGATAAGTGACATCAAGAAGATGCTTACCAAGGAGCAATTGGAAGCTTTTAGGATGTCAGCCTTTGGGAAGTTCTTGGATCTCCCACACTGCATTGTACAGAACCAACTCATCAACTATATACTCCTACGCGAGGTTCATCAGAGTAGGACTGATGAAATTTGGTTCGATTTCGGAGGGAAATTCCTCCGATTTGGGATAGAGGAATTTGCTGTCGTGACTGGTTTGAAGTGCACTGGACATAGTAAGAAATTGAATATTCCAAAGATTGCCGGTGGTCTGCACGACAAGTAATTTGATACTGTGGAGTTAAGCAGGAGTCACATCAGGTGGCAGTTTTTGAAAAAATTGTGGGCGAACGATGAAGATGCAGTGAAATTTGCTAAGTTGCATTTATTAGCAAATTTCCTCATGGGCTCTCAAGATGCTCTTCGCATAGACCGCTGTTTTGTTGACATGATTGACAGTCCTGAATGTGATGATTACTCGTGGGGAACCGCTGTGTTTCAGTTTACCCTACACTACCTGAAGAAATCAATCCAAACCAGAGAGCAGCTGCACATATCGGACAAGGATGATGGAAGCAACTTGTACCGGTGCTATGGTCTGATATTGGCTCTTCAGACATGGTTCTATGAGGTTTGCGACACGGCTGAGGGTGTAGTCGCAACCTACGTGGGTGTAAACACTATCCCGAGGATAATCAAGTGGGAAGTTCGGGAACCCTGTACTCGAAGTTTTGTGCAGAGGACGTTTTCTAATCTTGATCAATCTAAGGTAAAAAATAATTTTGTTCTTTATATATTTCTACATCTATCGCACTAACAAATTCTTTTTCTTCTTTATTGTGCACAGTTCAATAACATAGTACCCACCGAAGCTGAGAAACAGACTCTTCTTTTGGACTCATTCTTCAGAAAAAAAAAAATGAGTTCACTCGGAAAAAGATTCCGCCAACTGCCGCCACAGCACAACTTACCACTGATGATGATGATGTCATAACCCGGCTCAACACACTTACTGCCGAAGTCCAGAGTCTGAAGGAAGCCTTCTACGACTTCTCCAAACGGGTTTTTGCCGAATTTGATTTATTCAAAGAAAAATTCCTTGTAAGTCATTTCTTCATGT